GTTTTTCTATATTGACTTCTTTAAACCAACCTTTTTACATTTCCCTTTATATTAAATGAGATTTATATACTTGATTTTCTGAAGATGAAAATTTAATATTTGTTTTCGACGAATATTTTAGTGCACATTTTGGCTTTTTGAGTATTTGTTTTTGATTTTTACAATTTTGGAGTATAACCTTTTTATAAATTTATTTCTGTTGTTGGACACGTAACCCTTAAATACATTATATATATTTTTTTTTTTTGGGATTTTCAAAATTCTGTAAATTTTTATTGGAATTTATTTTGGATTTTACATTGACATTTGGATTAAATTAAAATATTATCGTGATTGTTTGGCATCATGCAACCAGCAGCCTCAGCGATACCAAAGCCTCACGGGAGGACCACTCGTTCCAATAGTAGGGCCGCATGAGATTTGAAAGATAACCAGGGTAATACACAGCCAGAAGATTTAGGTAGTGGTAACGGTATTACACCGACAAATGTAGATGATAATGAATCTCGATCTTTACCAGCGGAAGTAACTGGTGATAACAGTACAGTTACTAGACCTTCTTTTAGTCCACTCACAATTCGTGGAAATAGTGTTGACCGAGCTGAACGATTGAGTAGTACAGGTATTGTTGAAGTGGTGGAGACAGCGTTAGAAGCTTCCCAAGCCTCGATGATAGAAGTCATGAGAAAAGAAATGCAGTCGGCAGTAGCGGCGGCAGTGAAGATTGCTCTTTCACAAACCCCTATTACTCCGTGTAATCCTTCTGACGGTAATGTTTCACCGGCGCAGAATATAAACTGGCCACACGACTTACCACCGAGGCAAACTGATACAAGGCATGTAGCTTCCGGTAGACACAATAGTGAATTTCAGAATTGTAATGGCAGAGATTGTTTTAATAGGTCGAAATATCCGTATATTAATAAGTGGGGAATTAAATTCGATGCAACGCCAAAGACACCACAGATTGAAGATTTCCTTTTTAGAATTGAGAGATTGCGTAGAAGTTATGGGTGTTCGGAAAGAGAACTTCTTGATGGATTTCATCATTTATTGGAAGGCCGTGCCAGCCAATGGTATTGGGATCAAATCCGGCAGTATCCAAATATGAACTGGGAAAATTTGAAGGTTTATATTACTCACGAATTCCAGCGTTTTCAATCCAATTTGGACGTCATGCGTCAAATTATGGACAGAAAGCAGGGAAGGGATGAGTCTGCAACACAATATATAGATGCGATAACCAGTTTGCGTACTCAATTGAGAGAACCTTTAAAGGATTTTGAAGTCATCGATATTTTGAAAGCAGGATTAAAACCCAAACTTGCATATCTGACTTTTAGTGGTAGTTTTTATTCCGTTGAACAATTTCGTAATGAAGTTAGAAAAGCCGAAGAGCTTTTAGAACGAGAATCTTCTCAAAGAATAAGACCAAACGCACCTTCTCGCATGCTGAATGAAATTTTTGAATCCGAAACTGACGAAATGGTTAATGAAGTTGATGAGTTGAGATTTAGATCGAAACCAACAATTGCTACCAATAAAGATTCTTCTCGTTGTTGGAACTGTGGAGATCATAGCCATGTTTTGAAACAATGCAACAGTTCTAAACGATCTTTATTTTGCTTTCGATGTGGTACTCCGGGTGTTACAGCTCCACAATGCAACAATTGCAAACAGCAAAGCCGAGCAGGTAATTCCTCAAAAACAGAATCAGTTTCAACTCAGACTGTAGACTGACTAGGTTCGAAAGATGTTTCCACTTCCATAGACCAAAATTTTATTGACCAGATTGAAACTTCCGATTATACACATAAATCCAAACCAAATTTAACATTGTCTTTCCATGTCCGCATGGCTAACTATTTGAAAACCCGTGATAGAATTTTTAATGCTGAAATATCTGCAAATCCTGTTGATTTTATTTCCCAACGAATCTTGAATACTCGCGAACGATACAAGCGTAGACGTCTTAGAAGAATATCGATTTCGTCCACAATATTTTCTGAATTCAAAACTAATGATCCTCGACCATTCCGAGAAGTTTTAGTAAATGGTGAATCTGTGTTAGCACTTTTTGACAGTGGTGCAACTGTTACTTGCTTAGGCAAAGATTGTTTTTCTCTGATCGACAGATTAAATATCCAAGTTATTCCTGTTTATAAATGTAGTGTTGGTACGGCTAATGGACAACGTGTTTCCTGTGCCGGAAAAGTTAAAGTAGATCTCACGTTCGATGATCAGACGCAGGTCATGGAAGTATATTTAATTCCGGGTCTTGAGAATTTCATGTATTGTGGCGTTGATTTCTGGAAGAAATTTAATATAGCACCGAAGCTCATTAGCAGTATCGAGATAAATTCTGTAATTAATGATTCTGATATGCATTCTTTATCTGATTTATCTTGAAAAGGCCAAGGAATGTTTTCTAGATTTTGATAAGTATGGTCTTGGTAAAACCCATTTAGAGGAGCACATCATTGATACTGGTGATGCGGTTCCAATTAAACAGCGTCGTTATCCTGTGTCTCCAGCTGTTGAGTTTTTAATTTATCAAGAATTAGATCGCATGTTAAGTTTAGGTGTTATTGAACCCAGTATGTCTGCATGGAATTCGCCGGTCACTCTCGTTCGACGTGGAGAGAAGAATAGGCTGTGTTTAGATGCACGCAAGTTAAATGAGGTAACCGTGAAGGATGCTTATCCTCTCCCGTTTATCGATTCTCTTTTAGGCCGCCTTCAGGACACCTACTTCATTTCTAGTATTGATCTTAAGGATGCTTTTTGGCAAGTTCCTCTGGCAGTTGACAGCCGTCCGAAGACTGCGTTTACAGTGCCGGGGAGACCGCACTATCAATTTACTGTCATGCCGTTTGGGTTGTGCAACGCAGCTCAGCGGTTATGTCGGTTGATGGATAGAGTGATTTCACCGGACCTGAAAAACAAGGTTTTCGTATACCTTGATGACCTGTTAGTCGTATCGCCAGATTTTGAGACTCATGTTGATCTGTTGCGCAAGGTAGGAGAGATGCTGTCCAGAGCGAATTTGACCATTAACTTAAGAAAGTCCAAGTTCTGTCGTCGAGAGTTAAGATATTTAGGCTATATAGTCGGTGAAGGTAAACTCAAACCAGATCCTTCCAAAATAAACAGTATTACGGATATACCAATTCCTAAAACAACTCGCAATGTTCGCAGATTTTTAGGAATGGCTTCATGGTTTAGGCGATTTATTCGCAATTATGCCGAAATTACAGCCTCAATTACAAGTACTTTGAAGAAAGGAAAACCTTTTTGTTTCGATGGACAAGCGATTGAGTCATTTAATAAATTGAAAGTAGCTTTGACTACTAGTCCCGTTTTAAGTCATCCCGTTTTCGATAAGAGATTTTATGTTCAGTGCGATGCTTCCAATCTAGGCATTGGTGCAGTCTTGTACCAATTAGACGCTGAAGGTCTGGAACGTCCCATAGCTTTTCATTCCGCACAGTTATGGAAGGCTGAACAAAATTGTAGTGTCACTGAACGTGAATGTTTAGCGGTTATCAGTGCCATTAAGAAATTACGCCCGTTTATAGAACTAATGCCTTTTACTGTTGTTACGGATCACAGTGCTTTAAAATGGCTTATGGGACAGAAGGATCTCAGTGGTCGTTTGGCTAGATGGAGTCTGAAGCTCCAAGCTTTCAATTTTGATATTCAGCATCGTAAAGGATCGCAAAATGTTGTCGCCGACACATTATCTCGTTTACATATGGATGAAATAAATATGTTCATTTCCGAAAAGCCATTAATTGATTTAGAATCTGATGAATTTAAATGTGAGGAGTATACACAGTTGATTGAAGTAATACGCGAGAACGAGGATAAACTTCCCGATTTAAAAATTGTCGATTCTTTTGTTTACAAGAAAACTCTCCCGTCGGACGGTAATTCAGTTCACGAGAATTTCACTTGGAAAATTTGGGTTCCTACCGGTTTAACCGAATCACTTATTGAGAATGCACATAAGTCTATAGTAAAATGTCATTGTGGTATTGGTAGAACTATAGCTGCACTTAGACAATATTTTTATTGGCCTAAGATGGCAAGACAAGTACGAGACTTTGTAAATCGTTGTATTGTTTGTAAGGAGACAAAAGCTCCAAATAAAATCTTGAGAGCCAAAATGGGCAATGAAACCGTTACAGACAGGCCATGGCAAAAGATTTTTATTGACTTTATTGGTCCATTTCCACGATCGAGGTTAGGCAACACATTTATTTTCATCGTGTTAGACCACTTGACGAAATTTGTTCTTTTGAAACCAATGGCCAAAGCAAATTCGAAAAATGTCATTAAATTTTTAGAGTCTGAAGTTTTTCACAAATTTGGTGTGCCACAATTAGTCCATTCTGATAATGACAAACAATTTGTATCTTTTGAGTTCACTTCATTTTTAGAGAAATATGGTTGCAAACAGATCCGAAATGCGGTGTACTCTCCCCAAGCGAATGCTTCCGAGAGGGTTAATCGGACAATTATCGCGGTGATCAGATCGTACGTTTCGAGGGATCAAAAGGATTGGGACAAATATCTTTCTGCAATCGAATGTTCTTTAAGATCCACATTGCACACATCAACCGGATTTACGCCATATTTTTCACTATTTGGAACACACATGATAACACACGCGTGAATACGATTTGGCACACAAACTTGGGATTTTGGAAGACGGTACAGTTGATATTGTCACGAAACACGACATTTTACAATTGGTTCGAGATAGGATTAAAAATAAACTGCACGATGTTTTTGAAAAATCTGCCACACGCTACAACACACGATCACGAGAAGTTAATTTCAAACCGGGGCAGGAAATACTGAGACGGAACTTCATTTTGAGTGACGCATCCCGCCATCTTAATTCGAAGTTGTGTCGGAAGTTTATGAAGTGCAGAGTTGTTCGGAAGATAGGCACCTCACTATACGAAATAGAAGACCTCCAGGGAAAGAAATTAGGGGTCTATCATTCGAAAGATTTGCAGCATATGGTACCGACGAAATAGTTTCGCCCGGCTTTTGTTTTGATTTATCAGGGTCGCGGTTCTTCCCCACTTCTCTTATTCTTCGGTTGACTTCCCAAATCAGTATGCTTTCGGCAGGCCTCCACCAACGTGTTCGGGTTTGTTATGTCACCCTCGTGTAAACATACCATAGACCACCTGTCATCAGGCAATGATCGATTATGATATCGATTAGTCGATTCCTTGCAAGCTTTTTATCGGACTAAGGTGCCCTTACTTCTTTCTCTTTTTGCATTGATTGCAATTTTGGCGTCATTTCAAAAGTGCAAAGTGAAAAAGTAAGACGTACAGGCCAATAAATTTGCAGTTGTGTAAAGTAACTAAATTAATAGTAGTGAAGTGAAAAGGTACAGCCTCAATTGGAATTTTAATTAATACACCAGTTGGAGTATTATTTTATTTGGCTGGTTATTGAGCTCTTTCTGGGTGAGTTTCATATTTAGCTGCAAATTCCTATAAAGCAGGCAGCTTATACATAATTGTGGTTTTTTCCAGAAATTTGCAATAGCGGTATTTTTAACGGTACCCAACCGCGTGAGCACCTCAGTGTGTAGTTTTTGGCAACCACGTGCCCTCATTCATAGCGGAATTTCATTCAAATTTCTGAGTAGTGAATCAAACCCAATTCAAATCACAACTTGTTGATGCCGGCTATCAATTGTGGATGTCATTTAGCCACACGGAAGCAGCAGTAAATTTGTGTATTGTGCATTAAGGAATATCAAAATTGAACACCTTTGTGGACCATTTAGCAAATCAACCACCACCAACTCCATCGTCGTCCACAGCGCAAGTACATCCTGCTGGACATAGCAAGCAGATGCATCAAGCTCCCGGTAATGTTTTGAGTTACGTACAACTGTAAGTAAAGAGACAGTCTGCGTCCATCTTTTGTGTCATCTGTTACCCTATCCAACCAGTCCCAGACGGGGAGGTTAGGGACCACATATTTTTACAACTTTTCCTCGACGGTCAGCCGAGTACAGTTAGACATTTCTGGTCTATACCAAAATACTCCATACGCCACCAATATGTATTTTCAATTTTTACACTCGAAATAATCCAGTTCGTCCAAATTCCATTACATCATCATGTGTCAATTTAAAAGTCAACAAATTCAATCAAAATTAATGTAATCTACTTTTTTTTTCTTTTTTTTACTGCAACCTTTATTATTTAATGCTAAAATTTTATTTAATTTTCTGATCAATAATATCTAATATATATATAATATATATACATATATATATATATATATATATATATTATACATATATATATATATATATATATATATATATATATATATATATATATATATATATATATATATATATATATATATATATATATATATATATATATATATATATATATATATATATATATATATTAATATATTATATATATTAAATACTGTATATTATATAATATATTGAATAATTAGTATGTAATATATCCTCATATTAACATACATCTTATAGATATATATATATATATATATATATATATATATATATATATATATATATGTATATATATATATATATATATATATATATATATATATATATATATATATATATATATACATCTATAAGATGTATGTTAATATGAGGATATATTACATACTAATTATTCAATATATTATATAATATACAGTATTTAATATATATACCGATACATATATACATGGTGCATACCTACATATATACGTATGTAATGTATATTAATGTGTAAATTCAGGCCATATGAAGTTGAAGTTGGCTCCATCAACCTATATGTATATATGTATGTACTTGAGTATGTATGTATACATACATATACAAATTTAAAAAAAAAAATACTCAATTCAATATTTTCTTCTATTCCTTTTTATAAATTTAATTTAAGCCTATTTTATATATTATTTATATATACGTTTTTTTTCTTTTTGAATATTTTCTGTTAAATGTTGATCCCCATTCGCGACCAAATTTAGTGTGAATATTTCAGGATAGACCCATTGAGCTCGATAGGTTATAGATACGTCCTTTATAAAATAATTTAGTGCACAGTGGCACTACAATTGGGATGAACATACAAATTTAATTCAAATTTTGTATGAACTTTCCTTAATTCTGATCATCGTTTTAAATTCATTTGTATTATACGTTAGATTTAAGTAAGTCTAAGACTTGTTTTTCTTTGAATTAATGGAATAAAACTTAAAAGAATGTATTAAATGGGAAAATGAAAGCAATTAAATATTATAATATGTTTTAGTAAATTATCAAAGGGGATAATGTAAAATAAGGATGAAGTCAATATAGGTTTTAGGGGTAACTCACCATAGTGGGAGCCCAAAAAGGGGATTCATGTCGGAATCCATAGGGTGGGCGATGAAGGTATCCATTAACACCTGGATACCAGAAAACAGCACTGTCTTGAATATAACGCAACAACAATTTCAATTTTTTTTGAATTTTATTTTATGTTAATAACTCAATTTTTTGTTGTCTCTGTTATGCACACCACTGAGAGTGCCGACTGAGAAGAGCCGGAGCAAACATAAATAGATCGATACCACTGTCATCTAGGTATACTTAAACGATATCGACCTGTCGTTTTGAGAATGTGCATGTATAACAGAGTGCCACAACAAATAAATCCCCAAAAACTGAAATTTTAGGTGTTGTTGTTTTGTGTGTACAATTTTGGGGACTTATTTCCTTTTCAGTTTGGGGACTTATTTCGTAACGCCGCTAGAGACTGTGTTAACTCGTAATCTTCTTAAGTGTTTTTAAACACCTCTAAATTCTATACGTGGACTCTCTCTCTTCCCATACACACATATATATATATATATATATATATATATATATATATATATATATATATATATATATATATATATATTTCTGGTTTTGTCTTCTCTTCTTAATTACCAAGTTCGAAACAATTTCGTGGGTAAACGTGACTAGAGTTATCAAAATACCGAATATCCGTGGGTATCGTGAAATATGCGCCATATCAAAGCGTAGACCTAAATATTCAATGTCCCACCACCAGAGCTAGAATCACGAGCTACACATACAATCAGTTAGCGACATCCGTGGGATATGTGGCAAAAATCATCATCATCATATGGGGCTGTACAACTACGTTGACCTATATATACAATATTTTCCACAGGAGCTACAACCAATTATGACCCACAAGTACCGATTTTTAGACAAATCCATGGGAAAAGGTTACCAAAAATAATAAAATTCCGATTATAAATTTTTAGACAAATCCGTGGGAAAATCTGGCATATATCTTTAATATACCGAATATTTAAAGGTACCGCTATATGTGGAACTAGAGCTGGAATTTTTAGACGAATTTTCGGAAATATGTTGTGAAAATCATTAACCCTAGTAAGATAACCTACGTCTGAGAGACGTATGCCATTTTTATTTTTCGCTCTCCCTCTCGAATGTTTTTGCAACACGTTGCTGTTTTTGTTTTTTTCAGTCGTCTACAGTAGCTTGCCGGTGGTGGTTATTTTGTCGTGGTAAGTTCGATACTCTTTGAGTTTTGGCGATCCCATCGTTAGACGTATGGTTAGCTTTTGTGTGACTTTTATACTCAATTTGAATAAATTTGATTTGATCGTGATTTCGTTTTTTCATTAGTTAAACCAAGAATAATGGCCCGAAATAGAAGGTTAAATGACACAGAAATAAATGCGTATTTGCAGGGTTTATCGGATGATTCGGAATCATCTGATGGCAGTGAAACAGGAGATGAATTATTTGAAGATGATGTTCAGAGCGATGTCGAAGATGAGGAAATCGCCAGTGAAGATCCTGATATCAACACAGCTTTATTGGAGGACCAATTTACAGGATCTTACAATTCTGTTTCTTCTTCAGATAGTCGTATTCTTACGTTTTCTGAACCTACTATTAGAAGCAAAAGTAAGTACTGTTGGACAACGTCGAAAGGGAAAAACACTGGCAGAGTTTCTTCATCCAACATTGTTCTAACGGCAAGAGGTCCTACTAGACAATGTAAATCATTGCTTGAGCCCCTTTCCTGCTTTAATGCATTTTTTAAGACGAAATAATTCAGCAAATTGTAAAATGGACAAATGTGGAAATATCCCTGAAACGTAAAGATGAAATGACGAAAGCAACTTATAGGGATACATGTGAACACGAACTCCGTGCTCCGATTGGAATTCTTACTTTGACAGCTGCGTTAAAAGATAACCAACCGATGAAATATTTGATAATACCTACAGTGGAACGCTATATACTTCGGCTATGAGTCGCGAAAGGTTTAAATTTTTGATTCGATGCCTGCGAATGGATGACAAAGCATTGCGAGCTTCTCTTCAACCTACTGACCGGTTTTTGCCTGTCAGAATAGAGTGGGATATGTTCATTGAACAATGCCAAACCAGTTACACACCGGGGTCGCATACCACAATTGACGAGCAGTTGCTGGGTTTTCATGGCCGATATCCATTTAAGATTTACATTCCCAATAAACCAAACAAATATGGGATCAAAATTGTAATGATTTGCGACAGTGCCACAAAGTATATGTTCAATGCCATTCCATACCTAGGCAAATCGAGTAATACCAACAACGTCCCTCTGGGGGAATATTACGTGAAGGAATTATCCAAACCAATACATGGGACTTCTCGCAATATTACTTGTGACAACTGGTTTACGTCAGTTCCACTGGCAAAGAACTTGTTAAAAGAGCCGTACAAATTGACTTTGGTGGGAGCTATAAGGTCCAATAAACGTGAAATTCCGGAATTAATGAAAAATGCACGATCGCGAGAGGTTGGAACTGCCAGATTTTGTTATGATGGACCTTTAACGCTTTTGTCCTATAAACCAAAGCCTTCTAAAATGGTGTTCATGCTCTCATCCTGTAATGAAAAAGGCACTATCGATGAAAGAAGTGGTAAGCCAGACATGATTTTGTATTATAACCAAACAAAAGGAGGAGTCGACACGCTCGACCAAATGTGTTCAATAATGTCGTGCTCAAGGAAAACTAACCGTTGGCCTATGGCAATATTTTACGGAATGCTCAACATAGCTTTTGTAAATTCATACATTATTTATTGCCACAACCTACAATCTCGAAACCAAAAACCGTCTAGTTGAAAAAATTATATGAAAACTTTATCCAGTTCGTTGACATCGCCATGGATGGAAAAGCGCTTGGAGGCTCCTAGTTTGAGTAACGCTTTGAAGCGAAATATAAAAAATGCATTGCCTCAACAGGTTGAAAGAGACAATAATGAAAACAGAGAAGAACCTGAACGAAAGAAAAAAAGATACTGTTACTATTGCCCCTCCAAAATGAGGCGTATGTCTAAAATGGTGTGTGTAAAATGTTCTAAATCTATATGCGGGGAACATAAAAATGAAGTGTGCAAAACTTGTACCTAATGTGACCATACTTAATATATTTTTTTATTTATCATAAATGTTATATCTAAATAAGCTTAAAAAGCGAAAGAAATGTGTTAATTTTAGTTTTTAAGAAAACGGCAGTTCCTTTTGGAAAATACTTGAATTTTTTTGTTTATTTTATAAGAATACTGAAAATGTGATTTTTTGTTACCTAATAAAAAAAGTTTCGTCAATAACGCATTTAAATAATAAAGAAATATATAAAGAACCTATGTAAGTACAAAAAATGTAAAAAATGGTTCCCAAAATGTTGTCACCGTAAAGAAAAACTATGATACGTCCCACAGACATATGGTTATCTTTTCCGTAGCTTCCAATAGGGTTATCTCTCTAGGGTTAAAAAAAATCTTTCGAATACCATCGGTACCCTTATATGGGGGTTGTACAACAATGTTGACCTATATATTCAATATTTTCCACAGGAGCTAGAACCCATTACGGCCCACAAGTACTGTTTAACTCAGGGGAGTGTGGGAGAGGCTTCGTATAGCGGCAAGAGCAACAAAACTCCCCGGAGTTATTATGATGTGAGATGTGTAGGTGAGAGATGTGGTGCGGGTGATTCGCGGGTGTGGTGTGCAAATAAAGAAATAAAACAAAGATAAATTAGTATTAATTCTTAATATAATTTATGCTTTATTAGTTCTTTCTTTTCGACAACAATCAAAATTACCTTGGTCTAATTTGGGGTGGCGACAGAGCCCGAATGCTTTCGTTTTCGTTTCTAATGTAATATAATGTATCGAACTTATACATTCCGGGCCCCTTGCTAGAACTACGAGTCTAGCAATCTATATAAAGTTATCATAAATTAGGAAGGAATTCAGATTCCTAAATGATCTATAGTTGCAGGTTTTCGAATTTTATCATAGACGAATTACCGATAGATTCGGTCTACAATTTAAATGTTTAGCGCAATTAATTCATGTTTTCAGCAAATTTCGGTTATGATACGATTTTTTTTCTAAATTGGTCGATTTTAATGTTTGGAGGGAGATTATGTTACATTCGAGGGAGTTATTGAAGCGGTGAGGATATACCCGAAAATAAATTTTTGGGCCAGCAAAGAATCCAAAACAATTTTTGGAGGTTCAGCTTGTAGAATTTTAGGGTATAGGTCAGCGCCAAGTAGCAAATCTATTGGGCTGTCATCGAAAGAATCCGCTAATTCAAGATCAGGAACTCGAGTCTTTAAATTACAAAAAGATGGTGGCGAGAACAACTTTCCTTTTACCTTAGGCAACACTAACTCTTCTGTTTCCACAATTCTAGATGCGTTTTTAGGGGGAGGCAACTGAAGTGAACAGATTTAGATTTGTTTGTCAAAGAAAAAGTTGAAATACCAAGTGTATTTTTAGGTTTCTTACTTATAATAGATGCCTTAGAAGAAGGGTCTACAATTGCTCGAGTTGTAAAAGATTTACCATCATGAACGATGTTGACTATTGCAGTTCCCAGAAGCACATAATCTTCAATGGTGTTGGGAGACTGGCTATTCGATTTATTTTTTGTAGAGAGTGGGTGCGTTTTAGAGAACTTTGGACCTCTACTTTGACCTTCGTAAAAGCCGGTGGGGACTTTGAACCTCGACTTTTGACTTTGGTAAAGGCCGGAGGTACGTTCTTAGAATTC